CCATCCTAATCCAGTATTACCTCATTACATCTACAATAAAGATTATTTCCAAATAAGGTCACATTTATAGGAACTAGGGGTTTAAAATTTTAACATATCTTTTAGGGGGGCACTGTTCAACCAACCACAAAGCTTGATGCAAAAAAAAAAAAATAGCTTTTTTCCCAATAGATGGTGTTAGAACAATTGGATATCTATATGCGAGGAAACAAACAACAACAACAAAAAAGACCTTGATCATACATAACAATCTACAAAAATAGACTCAAAATAGTATAGACCTAAATGTAAAACCTAAAAGTACAAAACTTGAAGAAGAAAACATGGCAAAAAAATCTTTGTGACCTTGGGTTAGGCAAAGATTTCTTAGAAATGACACTAAAAGCACAATCTATGAGAACAAATTGGTAATTGGATTTCAACAAAATAAAAACCTCTGGCCTTTAAGAGAGATTGTTAAGAGAATGAAAATACCAGCCACAGACTGGGACTATATCTTTGCCAGGTATGTATCTGATTCAGGACTGTGTCCAGAAATATATAGAAATCTCAGAACTATATAAGAAAGCAAATAACCCCAACGGGGACAAAACATCTTGATCCATCACCCTGGAAGATATATGGATGTCAGAGGAACACACAAAAAGATGTCCAACATTATTGGCCAGTAGGATATTGTAAATTAAAACTACAACGAGATACTACAATGCTATTATTATAATGACTGAAATTAAAAAGACTGACCCCACCAAGTAGAGGACTTGGAACTCTGGTGCATTGCTGGTAGGATATAAAATAGTAAAAAACACTTGGGAAAACAGTTTGGCAGCTTTTATTTTTTAAAGTATATACCTACCATGATCCAGTCTTATCACTCTTACATATTTACCAAGAAGAGGAAATATATGCCCATATATAAAGATTCATACACCTGTGTCCACATCAGATTTACTTATGATAGCCCCAAACTCCAAACAACTCAAATTTCTATCCACATAAAATAGGAAAAAATTGTGATACATTTTATAAGGAATATTATTCAGCAACAAAACAACAAACAATTGATGCAATGATATTGATGAATCTCAAAATAATTGTGGGGTAAAAGAAGTTAGATCAAAGAAAAATGAACATATTTTACAATTCCATTTATATAAAAGTCTAGAAAATGTAAACTATAGTGATAGAAAATCTATCAGTGTTTTCTTGGGGTTGAAGTAGAATAGGACAGGATGAGAAGGAGATGTTACACAGGGGAATGAGAGAAATTTGGGGGTATAATCATTATCTTGATTGTGGTGATGGCTTCATGTGTGTGTCAAAATATCAAAAATTTTCAACTGTATAGTCTATGTGCAGAAAATTGAATGTTGATTATACCTCAATAAAATGTAGTGTATTCCTGGTATGTGTCAGAAATTTTGCTAGTTGTTTTCATGAAATGTTCCTTTACTTGTGAAAGCACAGTATGATAGGTATCAAGCCGACTTTCAGAGAAGAGTAATATATTCATAGAATAAGATGATATTGAATAGAGAAGAGGGGGAGTGGAAGAGGAAATTGTGAGTGGAACCAAGTATGATTCCTCAAGAAGAAGGAAAGAGGCAGTGTAGAAAAAAAGAAGATATAGTGGATTGTATTTTCTAATAATAGGCATATTATTTCCTTTTTGATATGACTCTGAAACTTCTCATTAAGAGGTGGAGTCCATGTTTCCTCTTCTTTGATATGGGAGGTTTGTGACTCCCATAGAGATAACATGATGTGACTTCCAAAGTTATAAAAAATGATTCTACTTCTCTTGGTTTTCTTGTGATACTCCCTTTTGAGACCCAGCTCCCCTGCTTCGAGGAAGTCCAAGCAGCTCTGGGTGACCAGTCACTTCATCTGGTCCTAGTTGATAGCAGCGTCAACAAGGACACATGTGGATGAGAAAACATTTGAATGAGTTGGGTCCCAGCCCCTGAATCACCCTTTGACTTTTTGTCTCCCCAGCTGAGGCCCTAGACATTGTAGAGCAGAGACAAAATGTGTTTGAGGGATCCTTTCTGAATTTCTGACCCAGAGAATTTTTAAGCATGATAAAATGATTATCATTTAACACAACCAAGTTGTTTCTCCTCCTCCTCCTCTTCCTTCTTCTTCCTCTTCCCCTTCCTCTTCTCCTTCCTCTTCATGTGGCAATGGTAACTGAAACTGGTGACAGGAAAGAAGGAATGGAAAAAACAAAACTGAAAATAACAACAACAAAACAGGCTCCATTCCTCCTGAAAAATTAGAAAAGATTCTGTAGATAGTTGCATTAGTTTTTTTAGTGTAGATACTCCAGAGAAGTAGTCTTATGGTTTCTGGGGGAGCCCTTGGCATCATGGGCATCAGGAAGGTGGCCACAATAAGCAGCCGGGAAGAAACACCCTTATCCCCAACCAGCTGACCATCATTAAAAACCAAGAGGGTGGCCAAATGGGGCAGGATTTACTAGTTCTTTTCCCAGGAAGAAAAACCTAAGAAAAATTGTGTTTTGTGTAAAGATTACTCATTAAAAAGATTACTTCTAACTGAGTCATAGTTAATTACATACATAGCAAAGTAGCATTCACTTCTTTGCATAATTTGAATCACAAGAGACATATATAAGTCTTACTAGTAGATCATTTAAAGAGAAGACCCTTTGACTTAATTTTGTCTACTCCCTGTATGAGAAAGTTTAAGAATCAAGCATAAGATTCCCAAATCCTGGTATATGTATATAATAATATCTTAAAAAAGTTTTTTAAAGATCTATTATGAAAGTGACAGATGGATTTGAGAATGAATTGATCTGCAGTGAGAATTACTTGTACAGTGTATCCTATGTTCATGTAGTCACAGCCCTATTTGGCTACACTGTGAATTCTGACATCAAGGCATAGTTCTGTATTACTAGTGAGCTAGTGACAATCTTTAATCAATGTACCAGCTCTGAATACTGTTTTCAGGATTTGCATATTCTTTCTTGGGTAAGTCACTCCATTTTTGTCTTTGCTGTCTGCCATGTTGAAATATTCTCCTTTTTTGATTCAGGAAATTTGTGAATTTTTAATCTTTCCTGTATTCTTATTCAGAATACAGTTTCTCAATGAGTCTAAAAAAATTAAATTGTTTCCTACAGATTCTCTTTTTTTTATTTAGTAATTTTTAATTTGTGGGGTGGGTGGGCAGATGGATGCTTTTTCAAAGCCCTCCACTGCAGATGTTGTCAGAAGGGGAGATTGAGGCACTGTGGAGGAGTGATTATGGGAACAGACTCTGGAGCTAGGCAAGTTACTTATCCCTACAGATGTTCTTGTTCCCCCCTAACATTAATTATTGGCTACCAACTTTACCTGTTAACAAAGAAGTAGTGGAATAATTTTATAGCTCTCTGGCTTAACCAAAGCACTCTTCCTGTTTAGTGGTGATGATTTCCTTTCTCCCCACACCATCCACACTTTTTTTTTTTTCCCTCCCAGAGGGTGTAACATTTGTGGTATACTATGGTAGCAGAAAGGGAATCTTAAAACTCATTTGGAGGGAAAGGGTCTCTTTTAGCTTACAGTATAAGATGAAATGATCTATTTTGTGCTGCTTTCACATTTCTCATATTACACTATTAAATATTCTCTCAGAGACTAGCACATCTAGGACGTTCTGTATAATCACTTTATGCATTGTCATGGGGACCACATTTGCAGGATGTGGGGCATGATAACCCTGTGGTTAGGAAAGCAGCTGTTCCCAGTTGTAAGACATACAACACAAAGTGAAATAGTCACAAAATTATCCTGAGCTTGTGGTGGAAAGGAAGAATGTCACAGAAGTTAATTTGTCCACTTCACATAATTAGTATGTCCTAGAGTCTGGTTTAGGTTCAAGTTCATGTTTTGTTATTTTCCTTTGTTACATTTATTTTTATATTACACCTTACCCTCAAGGAGGATGCATCAGGGTTGCCTGCCTTCTACAGGAGGAAAAGGTTTGTATGTACAAAACTGAAGATGAGAATTTGCCTGGCTGTTAGTATACTATGCAATATGCACAAAATCACAGCCCCTGGCTCCCAGACCCTCATCTGTCTTCTCAAACCTTTCTTCATCATTCCTGTACACTTCTGCCAAACAGCCCTTTTTAGTAAAGGAGATTCACCACACCATTCTTTTGATAGGGTGGACCTCAAGTGGGCTGATAATCTAATCTTCATGTATTTGAGAGTGAGTAATCATACACCACATGTTCTTGAAATGTGGTCTCTGAACTGGCAGCATCAGCAGTCCTAGGAACTTGTTACAAAGGCAAATTGCTCCAGATCTACTGAATCAGAAATTCTGGGGGAAGGTAGTTTAAGACCTGCAGTTGATTTTGATTTGAGAACCACTTTTATAATCAAAATTCTTAGAAATCTCTTTTATTCATAATTTGTTCTCAGTTGTGAGGATAATTGTGTAGACTATCCTTTAGTAATACAGCATCAAATAAAGAGATCCTGTCATGTACACACTTGTTAAGCATCTACTGTATGCATAGGATTATGTTAACTACTTTAGTAAAAGAAAAGAAGAATAAAATAAGCTTCTAACCTTCTGGAGCTTATTCTGAGTGAATGAATAAGTGGATCATTTTTGATTTGGTGATACAGTAGAGATGAAAACAACACAGTAGCTTACCTCTTTGTTGGCATTCCGAAATACCCTCTTACAAAATGCAAAATATGGGCTAAATGCCTCACTGTATCATTGATAGATATTACCAAACCACCCCTTGTTTTTTTCAGAGATGGAAGAATAAAGATTACTGATTAAAAGTTTAATCATTTGAACCATAAAGTTCACCTGGTTAGTGACTGAAACAGAATATATGACCTCATACTTCTTTGACATTGCTTCTGCCTTATAAATCAGTCTTGGTCCAAGGAATTTGAAGCTAAATCAGAATCAAAAAGTCACCTTCTATCTTCTCAGTGATTAAACAGATTTGCAACAGACTTTCCCTTCTATTTAACTTTTATTAAAAGAAGCGCTAAGGTACTGGGATGAAGTACATCATATTTATTACCAAAATTATTAACAAATATACAAAACTTATACATGTAATTTCTTACATCCATTTATTCTCTATAATACTGATTTTGTTCAAGTAGGTTATCTACAGTATGTAAACATCCCTTGGATTGACCTCACACAGATTAGGAAAGCCCTCTAACCCATGCTTTTATCAGATACTTCTTTTTATTTGGCTTTCATTTGTAGCATCTAATCTCCACATTTGGCACATGGAAGAGACATCTACAGTGCATAAGAGGCAGATTTTCTGGTTTCATTCTGAACACTTTTGCAGGGGCATAAAGAGCTGAGAGGAGAACAGAAGCACTCTAACTCAACAGTACTGGATTAGCTATGCCAACAACTCTATTAAACTTCAGCTATTAAACTTGAGCACAAAGTCCATGTCTCTTCCTTCTCCCCCCCTCCCACCCATCCCCCATGCAAGGCTGATTCAGTCTTAACCTTGTCTCAAAAGGGTTAAAAGAAATTCCATCCATTTCGGAACAAGTAGGTTAACTTCCCCGAAGAACAAATTTTCAGGGTTCTTGTGTGTGGGTTGGTTTCTGCAGTTTGATCATACAGCAAAACTCCTAAGTGGAAAATAAAAATGAATTCGACGTTTTTTATTACCTGCGTTCACTTGCCATCTCTGTATTTAAGACACGTACCTTTGTTGTGGAGGCAAAGTGACAAAGGCTTTGGTGAATGGCAGAAAAAAAAAAAAGCCAGGCTTGTCTAACACCTTGGACTCCAAGCCTTTGAATATAGTGTCAAAAAAATTAAAGAGAAAAGAAAAAAGATAATTGGAGATCCTGCCCTCCTCTTCTTGGGTTTCCTTTTGATTATTTAAATTAATCTGACCAAGTAAAGCTGATCCAGAGAGAGCTCTGTTCACCCGGCTCACCCCATCCTCACTCTCCAGCACTGTATAGCACGTGTGATCGGCTGCACCTCGTCCGCGAAGTAGCCTCCGAGAACGTCTGGATTTGGACATGCACCTGCCGCCTGGCTTCCGTTACCACAGGGGCGCGGGCCCCTCCGACGCCCCGTAGAGCTCCGCCAGCTTCCGGAAGCGGGGTCCCCAGTCGGTGAGGAAGTCGAAGCTCTGCTCTGAGTCTGAGGTGGCCGACTGCAGGGAGCTCAGAGACCCCGCCACGGAGCCATCACCCTCGAACATGTATGTCTGCAGGGAGTCAAAGGGTGGGGCCCACAGGTCCATGTCGGCCTCGTAGAGTTTGGCCAGCACGTAGCTGTGGACGGTGCTGTTGACGGCGCACGTCTGAGGCACGTAGCGGGAGAGGCTCTCGATCTCGGGCAGCATGTCCTGCCGCATCTTGGGGGCGGCTCCCGCCTGCGCCTCCCGCGGGTTCCACATGGCCGCGATGTCAAAGGCCTCGGTGTCCTCCTCGCCGCCGCCCTCGTCGTCGTAGCGGACGATGTTTTCATGGATGTTCTCCTCGTCGTCGATGATGTACGGCTGCTTCCGGTGCCGCCTCATGGACAGGATGAGCAGCACCAGAACTGCCGGGACAGAGGAACAGGACGTTTATGGTAAGAGCCTCCGCGTGTGTGTTGTCCCTAGAAGTACCCGCCACTAGCCCCAGGTTCAGGAAGAACTCGGAATGGTGAGCTCAGAGACTGCGCTTGGGTACTCTAGTCCTCAGAGTTAATGGCTACCTACCTCCTCCTCGCTCTTTCTGCCATTGAGATTGAGAACGTGTGGGCGAAAGTTGCCCTGTATTTCTAAAGTTGGTTCAGTTAAAAAGTGAGATATGAAGTCTGCACATCAGCTTGCTGCTTTGATACTGCGTGTGTGTGTGTGTGTGTGTGTATGTGCACCCACCCAGTCTAGTGTGAAATCCCACTTAAAAAGCACAAAGCACTATGTCCTGCTGTGAAATAAGCTAAGCATCACTTCATGTATCTGCCCATATAACAGTGAATATACATTTATTTTGTAATGTGAAGTATTATGTGGGTGAAATTCTGCTTTCTTATATTAGCATGTTTATAGGATTCTAACTCTAAATATAATCATATATTAATTAATATGCGTATAGACACATGAACTGAATATGAACTAAAGTCGTTGTCTTTTTATATCCCCTCCAAAAAAAGTAAGAGCATAAATGACCCGTGTGGTGCATTCCTCAGGAAAGCCTTTCATTAGAGAGGTAGCTGTGGCTTTCTGGATCTAGTCATTTTCATGGAAGGGAGGGAATGAGCAGTGACATGTTATATAATTCATCATGTTATCAAAGAAACACCACACTGTTAGATGTGCCCTTGCAGGTTTGGATAAAATTTTATCCCAACAAATGCACCATTTTTTTAAATTTTGTTTTTAAGGGTGTGTTTGCTGGGATTTAGAGGAGAGATAGAGATAATCCCATTGAACTGTTTATCTTTGTGACTGAAAATGTTTTTCCAGGAAGTGTGTTGAGGTTCTAGCTGTAGAACTGCTATTGATTTTTTTTTTCCTGGTGTGCTTTGTTACAGCTGGTGAACAGTGACAGTTTGACAGCACTGCAAAATAAGACTCCAGTTTATCCAAGGAAAAAAATAGTGGTGTATACTCATATTCAGTAAGAGATTACAGACCATATAACAAAGTTCACAACAATGACTTTTAAAGTATTTGAATGTAGAATGAGCTTTTCATATAAATAGCAGTTAATTGTAAATAACTTTTTTGTGATTAACTTGGTTGATAAAATGCACAAATACTTGTATGTATTTTTCCTGTGTGTAAAAACATGAGGTATAGACTAGAACTATAGGATTTCAGGGAAAGAAGCTAAAGAACTTTAAAGAAGTGGGACTTCGAACTGAGCATCCAATACTGGAATGTAATTTGAATTGAAGGCAGATGGAAAAATGGGAGTCTAAGTGAACATGCTTTATTTGTGGGATTCAGTAAACAGTTACTAAAACCTAAATCTTTGTTTAGGCTCTATGTTAAGCAATGGGAAATAAGATTGGTTATGATATAGTTCCTGTTCTGATGAATTTGCAGGCTAAGAAGAGTATAAACATTGATGATAATACAAATCAGGCAGTAATAAGGGTTATAGGTTCACAGGTGTTACCATTAGATTCCAGAGACATGGTCAGTGAATTCTGGGGCAACAGGAAAGTGATTCACACAAGTAACCCTGGAGTGTCAGTGGTGATATTTTGGAAAATGCTAGGATGCAAAATGAGAAAAATTTTTGAGTAGCCAGGCATTGTGGCATGCAACTGTAGTCCCAGCTACTCTGGAGGCTGAGGTAGAAGAATTGTTTGAGGTTAGCCTGGGCAACATAGTAAGGCTGTAACTCTTAAAAGAAAAAAAAATAAGAGAAATAAAAGTCTTTTGAGTATCTTCTGGAGGAAATTCTGATGGTGATGGAGAATTAGGTAGTGTATGGAACTGGTCCATCTTAATTTATTATTATTATTATTGCCATCTGTCTTATTTTTTTAGGTAATCTGATTTAATAATAAGTATCATATTACACCCTGAAAATCATATTTTGGGAAAAATGGTCCTTAGCTGAAAGGCTCCCCTGATTCCCTGACAGAAGAGAATCAGTTTTAGGTCTGTTTATTCTTGTTAGGCAAGCATGTTACCACTGAGCTGCATCCCTGACCCTTAATTTTTTTTCTTTTAAATTTTGAGACAAGGTTTCACTATGTTGCACAGGCAGACCTCATACTTGTGATCCTTCTGCCTAACCCTCCAGATTTAGCTGGGATTACAGAGGTGTGCCACCATTCCTAGTGGGATATTTACTCTTTATTTACAACAGGCATAGTGAATAGACTTATGAAATTTTCTAAGAAATGGATACATATTTCAGACATTAAAAAATCCCTGCAAAATCAAAACTGTCAAAATTAATGTGTTTGTTTAATTGTCCACAAAATGTAGTATTTTGTTAACAAATCAACTGCAATTCAAATTTTACATGGTTTTATGAATTATATTTAATGTGAGATGTGTACTCTAGAAATAAGAATGCATAAAACCATGTGGATTTTGTGATACCTTTGCTTAACTTAGCTCCTAAAAACTGTTTACTTATTCTGTACAGTTCAAAAGACAAGAAATAATGGGTTTGAGAGGGACGAAATAAATTATCCCTTGCACACCACTTCTAACTTGAGAGCTTCTCTGAGCTACTCTCTTTAAATCAGTCTTTCTGTAATGATGTTTTTTTTTTGTCTGGTCAGAGTAAACTTAGAGAATGTTTTCCAAAGATAGAAGTAAGGGCATCTACTCTTGAAATTTCTCCTAGGCGCAGGTTTTTTCAACAGCTTCTTGCAGGTGGTCCTGTTCTGTACTCAAGGACTCCCGATGCCACCTTATGGACACACAAGGAATTTCAGGCAGGTTTTACTTGCCAGTATACATGGACCAGAAAATAAGTCTCTCTGATTCAGGGATCCAAGGACTTAGGAAGGTTATTCATTTATTCTACTTCTTCCTTCATGTAAGACTGAACTATGTCAACAAAATTAAGCCACATGTTGTATTTTAAAATGTCTTGAGAGGGCTGCTTTACGGGCCTGCCTAGAAAATCAGTCAAATAGACATTTTTTTATAGTGGGGAATTTTCTTCTTTGCTCTGACTCAGTCTCTTGGTGTGTAGGTAAACAAGAGATAGAGGGTGTGTGTAAATATATGCAAGTCTCTTTTAATTGAAATCCCTAGAGCTTTATTTTCTTCCCTCATAGAAAGCTGGGATTTCTTTTATATTAAATAATATTTTTGTATATTAAGTTTGCTTTTCCCCAGGTAAGATGTATTTGCTTTGGCATAATACAATAAGAAGAGGTGGAATATATGTACGGTTATTTTCTTGGCTTCAATAGATGATTTAGGTATTTGTCTTTGAATGTGGAATTCAAAAACAATGACACAGATGGCATTATGTATAAGGGAATTGAGAGGCAGTCTTGCAGTATGACTTGAGAGAAAAAAGTAAGTAACCCCTACCACAATAGTGCTATCCCTCTAGCCTGTCATCTCCTCTTTTTATTTCATCTTCAGAGGCAAACTGGCCCTGTTTAGTCACTGATTTTTATATGATGGCCACATTGCCTAGCAGGGACAATAATGTCACAAGGAGCTTATTCCCCAGAAATCCACGTGGTTTATTTGATCACTTCCTTCAAATCTCTGTTCAAAGTTCTCTTTTTCTGTGAGGGCTTCACTGACCACTCTACTTGAGATGGTATCTAGGCATTATCCCATCTTCCCAGATATACAACTTGTTCCTCTTCTCTGTAATACTTAGCCATCTCCAGAATCTGAAAAAGAGCACTCAGAAGGGCAGTGCTGCTGAGATGAGGTACCCAATGTATGTCCTCCTGCATTTCAGTTTGAGCTCTGCCGCTGACACTTGGCTTAGGGCCAGTCACTTACCTCTATGTGATTTAGCTACTACTAATCTGAAATGATGGAGTTATAAATGATTATTGTATCTTCTTTTAAATTTTATTTTTGGCTCTATGGTATAAAAATGAACTTGATTTGAAATAAACTCTGAAGACTGAGACATGTCTGTCTTAATTCTAGCACCTAGCATGGTGTTCCAATCTATTGTATATGCTTGATGAATATATATACACTTCAGGAACTGTCTCAATTTTGTACTTTTCCACAAACTTTATTTAACCACCTTTTCAGTAAGCATGGAGTAGAAGAGCAGTTCCGAGTAGCTGTGTTGGGAGTAACTGACTAGTCTGAGCAAGCGTTTGCAGGACCCACCATGATGGAAAAGAAAGGAACCACCTACTCACCTAAGAGGACAAAGATGCAGGCTAGGATGGCAATGAGGGCGCCCCGGCTCAAACTGACTGGGAGCATGTAGGCCTCAGGGCTGCAGGACATGACGTGGCCTTCATCATCACAGCTGCATACCTGGATGGTAAGTGTACCTGTGCTGCTCAGCACTGGCTGCCCACTGTCTGCTATCAGGATGGGAAGGTAAAAGACGCTTTGTTCCTGCTGCCGGAAGCCAGACCTTCTGGTTAGAATCCGGGCAGTGTTATCTGAAGAAGTAAGGAGTTCCAGGGTTGAATAAGAAAAAGGAAAAATTAGAGAAGAAAATGGAAGAACCAACAGGTGAATTAATTTATGGAATAGAGGAAAGCAAGTGGGCAGGGATGGGGATAGGAAGGAAAGAGGCTAGTTTATGTTCCCTGGAACTGTTCATTTGTAGCTACTGTAGGATGGCCTGAGTCAGTATTTGGATTTAGAAACCCAAGATTTTTGCTTGCCTTTAAGCAAAACCCCGAGGCCTAGGAGAGAAACACTTTTCTGAGAACCTGTCTCACCCTTTGTGACATGAAGTGCCTAGGGCGAACTGTCAACCTTCAGATCTAGCAAAAATATCCCTAGGAAAGCTTGATAGAAGTGAACAATCACTGGCAACTTGTCCCTGTTTGTTCCTACTTAGCAGATCTCCAGGCCCCAGTGCTACTTTATGCCTCCAGGAAAATGCTGAGGAGCCCATGTGGCTGCAGTGGATTGCTTGTTTTTACCACTCTGGCTGGAATTCATGTCTTTTGCTATTTTCTTTTATGCCTCTGAATTGCAGTCACTGACTTCCTGAAGAACCTGCTCATTTAGTAGAAGGTTATTTGAAATCCTCTAAACATCTGACACTATTATTTTCTCCTGGCATAGCAGTCTAAGTTTAAACAGTTAACATGAACTGGTAAAATTTGTTCTTGATCAGTAATATTAGTTATTTTCCCTTCATGTTTTTTAAATAATTTGTTGATAATAATAGTTACATCTTTATGGAGGTACAATGTGATATTTCAGTGGTTTATATATTATATATGATCAACTCAGGATATTTAGGTTATCCATCTGTCATTTCAAACATTTATTTCTTCTTTTTGATGAGAACATTCAAAATCCTCTCTCCTGGCTATTTTGAATTATACATATGGTTGTATAATCACCCTCTGTATAATAGAACACCAGAATTTATCCCTACTGAAATTATTCCTCCTCTAGCCGAATTAGAGATGTTTCTGCAAAGCTGATGAGTACATGGGTTTATTTATATTTACATTTGCCTAATGTTAAGTTTTGAGATTTTTGATTGTTTTATATTCTTAGATTTCCTGGAGTGTCTTTGAATTCTAAAGCAGATATATTTTTGCAAAGCTCAGATCTTTTTAGCAGAGGAACAGTTTGAGAGATGTGGTAAGACATACAAACAGTGCCTCTCTCAAATCTAGTACCATCAACATGGAAGATTTCCTGGATGTGTTTCACATTTCCCATGGTGGGGCTTAGAATTTCACAAAAGCTTCTGAGAGCCTAACCAAAGTAAAGCATTATTAGTGATCGTTAATACTTCTCCCTCCCTTCTTGGACTCAATGAAGGATTATACTTTTTTAACCTCTTAGGACATATCTAAGTGATTTTCTTAGTATAATTGATGAAATATGAGTAAAATTGATTTGTGTTACTACTTAAAGGCAGAAGCTTGAAGGAACTGATGTGTGGTTCTCTTGCCTTGCTGTGATAACTGAAAGAATGTTGTGGGATGGAATCCAAGCACTTTGGGATACTGAGCTTCATATGGTGAACAGTTGTCTTGGATAACTCAGATGTACAGTGGGCTTTATTTGAGCAAGAAATAAACTTTGGTTGTGAAAAGCCACTGAGATTTTGGTTTGTCTGTTCCTGAAGCATAACTTAGCCTGTTCTGAATTATACACAATTCCTTAATTGCTTTTTCTTCCTCCTCCTTCTGTTTTTTTTTTTTTTAAATGGTACACATGCTGGTGCTAGTTACATTCACTTTCTGTATAGTATCTCATTTAATCTTATCAAAAATTTGGTGAGATAGTGATAATTATATCCCTTTACAGTGAGAGAATTAAGGCTTAGACAATTTTATAATTTGTTCAGTCACTAACCTATTTAGTAGCAGACTGGGATTTGAACTCTGGACAGACTGACTTTAAAACATTTACTCTTCTGGGGCTGGGGATATAGCTCAGTTGGTAGAGTGCTTGCCTTGCATGCACCAGGCCCTGGGTTCAATCACACACACACACACACACACACACACACACACACACACACACACACAATTTACTCTATTGGGTTATACAGTTACTTATTTAGTTTAGTAACATTGCCTGTCAAAAAATAACTTAGATAGTCATGATCTCTTCCTTCTTTGATACAGGCTGTCTTCTTTTTATTTTTTTCTCAGTGAATAAAGATAGTAATTAGTTACCAATATGAGGCTTATAATCATATGTTCACTTAACATAAAACCCATTTACCTGCTTTTCTGTTTTTAGACTTAATAGGTAAGTACGATTAATTGTGCTTTGTAGTTTTATTTTTTTTTCCCAGAAAACAGGTTTTCCTTGATTGTTATTATTTTTATTTTTTGGTTTAATCCTAACTATGTCATAAGACTAAATTATAAAAAAAGACTGACTAGAAAGCCGGCTGTGGTGGCCCTCGCCTATAATCCTAGCGGCTCAAGAAGCTGAGACAGGACCATTGCAAGTTCAAAGCCAACCTCAGTAACTATGAGGTGCTAAAGTAACTCAGTCAGATCCTGTCCCTAATAAAATAAAAAATTGGGCTGGGGATGTGGCTCAGTGGTTGAATGCCCCTGAGTTCAATCCCAGTACCCCATCCCCTGCAAAAATAAAGACTGACTAGAACAGCATTTCAGAAAAGTAGTATATTATGTCTGCTAACCATGTTTCTTGATCTAAGAGTTATTTAAGAAGAAAAAAAATCAGAGCTTCATATTGCTAAGTTCAGTCCTGGAAGGAGTCTGGCATAAAGTAGCCATTTGAAATTGGAATTTTTTTTTGTTGAATGTGATAATTGGGGCTTTTATAACCTGTTTGGAAAGAGTATTGTTTCTATAAATATAAATGTGTGTAGTGGGAAGATGGGCCACAACCTAGGATCTGACTTCTAGTCTCAGTCTTAATGCTTGCTCACTCTCTGATCTTAGGTCATTTGCTTACTTTCCCCAGCTATCATATGGAATGATGAGAATCAGAGGGATTAGTAATTTCCTTAAAGCCTTATAGATTCATTGTAAATATCAAAGTAAAGTATGGGAAAATTCTTTTGAAACTGTAAAGTGCTTTGTACCCATAATCCTTCTCATAATGTTTCAAGATTAGAGTATAAAAAAGGCATTTTTTGTGATAATGTCCTGTTGTGTTCATAAAAGGACATGATGATTCAGGCATGGGAGTTGGGCACTTGACATTAGGTCAACCATATCAGATGTTGGTCAATTTTTTAATAAGCTTCAATAAATGATACTGGTGGGATAAACTGTCATGTGGAGATTAGAAGTACATGCTTTCTGTTGAAGATGTACTGACTTCTATTTTGGGAAGCCTTCCAAGAGATGAGTCATATCTTTTTATTGTCGTTTTGTTCCACTGGACTATCTTTGTAAGAAATTGGTTTCATGAATTGGTGCCCTAAGTCATCTTTAATAAATTTGTAGCATTTTGCTGCTATAAATTTCTGTATTGAGTTTGGCAAGTATGAGAGTGACACTTAGCGGGAAATTTGAAAAAACAGCATAAAGTGTTATCTTTCTCACTCTAGGGTTTCTTTTGTAAAATGAACCCTGAGGAGACTGAAACTGCTTTTGTAGAAGGTATTTCCCTATGAAGTAGATAAATGAATAGTTCAAAAGTTTAACCAAATAAAAATCTCAGGATATTTTAATTGTGATTTTTCTGTTGTTAGGATTCATATTATCCTTCCTCCCAGAATTATCATACTGATTTTATGATAATGTGTGGTTTGAAGAATAGTTTCCAGTTAGAACAAAATAAATTTGAGATTCTCAGGTTTTATAGAAGAATATCATATGGGGTTGAATTAATACTTTAAATCTCAAATAATTGATGGTTGAGACGAAGACAAAGCTGCCTAATCATGACTTTTTATTACCCCTTGTTTATGTTGTTACAAAGTCATAATATTTTTGAATTGGAATGAAAATACGGTTACTGCAGCCTAAGGAAATCATGACCTCCTCAAGGTCAGATCACTGTTTGGTAGTGAGTTAACAACATAAGGAGTTGATTTGACAGATTTAATATATTTTTGCAATTGCACTGATCTTTCTTTGGAACAAATCATCTCACTAGAGAACAAAAGTCCCCTTTTTTCCCCATCTTTACTCAAAAAAGTGTGTCTTTAATCTCCTTTGCTTTTCTGAATGCTTGTTGGAGAAGGGCCTAGAAGTACAATTCTAGCAGAGATTGCACTTTCTGCACTAGGACCCCCACCTGGGTATGTATTTCTAAATTATAAATTATAAATTTAGACTTTATAAATTATACAGTTGTTTCGGTGGTCAAACTGCTTGTTTTCCTCTGTTTGCCCTTTTCTACCTTATTTAGCTGTTGCCTCCCCTTTGTTCTGAGAGATCTTCACTGTTTCCCCCCTTTGATCATTGGTTAGAACTGTTCCCTCAGGATTTTCCTCTTTCTCTAGATCACTGTTTATTATTTTCTCAGGTTATTCCCATGTTTCAGTACATGTAAACATGGCTACTATCTATAGGAATAAAGGAAAGATTTTGTCTTTGTGTCTTGAACAGGGTTTGGCACAGAACAAGCATCTTTAAACATTTGCCAACTGAGTGATGAATGGAAGTTTTAGAGTCAGCAGAGGGCACTCTCTGTTTTTTGTTGTGAAGCTGAACTTAAAAAAAAAAAAAAAAAGAAGACTGTGAAGTAGCATTAATATCCTCCTTCCTGTTAAGGAGCAGGCAAACTTTGACACTGTTTGCATGGTACACTAACTGAAAGTATCCAGCCTAAGCTATCAGATGGGATGATGGGAATCAGAGGGATTAGTAACTTACAAATTCATTATAAATATCAAAGCACAGTATGGGGAAATACTTTTGAAATTGTAAAGTGCTTTGTACACTTAATCCTTTTAGCCATTTATACCCCTTATTACCTTGGTTGTCCCTTACGGTGAAGTTGGGATTGTTAGCAGCCTCTGGAGTCAAGCTGTAGTAGAAATGCTGACCATTGTGTGGGTCGTCTTGGTCCACAGCACTTACTGTCTGGATCAGCTGAAGGAGGGATATGAAATCAGGTGAGTTGGAGTCAAAGGAAAAAGCTTCAGGGTCCAGTGAAATCTCAAGCCTTGAAATTCAGTGATAGGTTGTTTTACCTAATGAGAAAGATATCATGATGCTCACCTGAGAAGTTTCCATGCCATCACATAATTCCAAAGTTAATTTTGGTTTAATGTTGGGCCTGAGTATGTTAATAGGCATAGGTAAACATTACCTAAATACCTTAGACCTCAATATAGCTTACAGTCCTACACCATGGTCAGTCATTTTTAGACAGTATAAATATAAGACTTTGAGTAAAAGAACTGTTTAGTGCCACAAGTTCCTGCTTATCCCCCTAATTTTCCTCTTTGTATCCTATCTTCTTAACATCGCAGGGTGAAAATTCAGGGTTAAATTGTTATCTTTTAGAAACTCTATTTAAGAGTGGTCACTACTACTTAGGAGGGAATTAAGCAGAAACATCATCACTGGTTATGTTAAAGTAAGAGAAAGCAGATGTGAATGTTGGGGTTACCTGACAGTCATATTTTGTTGGTAGGAGGTAGAGCTAGAAAAGATATCCCCAGAGTGGGAACAGACTAGAGTCAGAAGCTAGGGTTGGTGGTGGGGAGAACAAGAGGTGGGGTGGCTTCCTGTTGAGCTCTTTGGCCAGGTTTTGTCTGTTCCACAATGTTCTTCAAAGGAATAAGTTTCCATGAAGGCTCTGGAGACCATGATGAAAAAGCCACTGAAGAAAGCAGTGTAAAACAGAATTGCAACGATAGCATGTGGGGTATGGGCAGTACAGAAAAGGTGGGCAGTATGAGATATAGACATTATTGATGGCTGAGACTAAGATAAGATATAGATAACTAAGATAAGATATAGAACACAAACTTTCCCTATTGCATATTTTAAAGGATTGAGCTATTAGGAAAAGAGCAAGACTCTTACTTCTCTTGATCTGGATGGTGTCTCCCTTCTAGATTGAGAGCAGGTGTTTTATAGTTAGAATGATAATAGTTTTGTTTCAAGATGGGTAGACAACTTACACAGGCTATCTGTGAATCAAGCCTCTGTCAAAGCCCTGTTTAGATCATAAAAGGTAGTATAGTCTCCAAATAGTTGTCTTAATATGTAAACTGTTGAAAGCTGCTGTACAGAATTTGGGGACGGTTTTTTAAACTGTACTGGTGGAGTGGAAATGTCTTTGATGGCAAATTTGGTTATTTGAAGCAATGTTTCTATACATTGGGGTGCCTGGCTTATAGGCCATCTTACCTGCCCAGCTTTGGCATTCTCACAGACAAAAGCTTCATAGAATCTGGGGAACTCTGGAGCATTGTCATTCACATCTAAGACTTTGATTGTGACAGAAACACTTCCCACCTGGGAGGGATTGTCTAAAGAGAATGCAAGAAAAACTGAAGGTGAGAATTCTATAATGCAGAAAAGTAGCTCTTTGCTGAAAGTAGGTATTTATTGGGTCAGTTTTGTTTGCAAAGAAATGGATAAAATACATGGAAATGGGAATATAAGCATAGGATGTGTGTGTTGCCTGTCAAGAGTGTGTGGCCAGACATAAGAAGCTTGGACAGAAGGAAGTGTCTGCTGAAAGTATATTTAACATCAGGAGTATGAAGGGAAGGGCGAGACTTGAGGGAAGTAAGTGTCACAAAACAGACCTTAAAAAGAGGTTTTGAGTTTTCTGCTTGGTTCATAATTTGTGTTCTGGAATTCAAGATAGGTAAATTCTGTATTCTGGGCTTTAAAACAGCCCATTTCTCATTGGATGCATGCTGTGTGACACTGCTTGGCTTTATGCCTGTGGACTAATCAGTTCTTTGAATTATATTTTTAAAAGGTTTCTAGTTATTTAGTGGAATACAGATAACACAGTATATTTATTTCTGCTTAGGGACTAATGGGATATTTCCAGATTAAACCCACACCAAGTCCATGTCTTTGGCTGGGGCAGAAGCCATAGGCACTCATGGGGAAATGTGTCTTTTAGGTCTGTGTCTTTTGCTTGGCATTGCCACACAAAGACAATTTCACAGCCCCAGTGGTGCTGCTCCTATCTTTTTCTGATTTGTTCAGCACCTAAGGAGACAAAACGAAATTACAAGACAGAAATTTTTCTTAGTAAATAATTTTACTAAATCCCAGAATGCATTGTTCTTCTGGTTCATTTTCTTACTTTCTTGAGAATATTGATGCTGGAAAATATCAACATAATTGGAATTTATGTTTTAATTATAATAGTGGTTCTTATTTGTAGAAGGAATAATAAAAATATCAGAAAAAGCACAAGAGGATGAATATAATCCATAATCCTACCACCTGAGATATCCTTTGTGTATATAATTTAATGTGTGTGTCCAAAAAGATAGGGCTACACACATACACAAAGATATATATACTCAGAATGAAGTTAAGTGAAGTGAAAATATTGAATTCAGAATAATTTTAGGAGAAGACTGTCCTGTTATTGAATATACTTTGAAATCATGATAGTTAATGTCTACGTGATATTCTCATTTGACAGTAGGTTGTACTGTAATTTATTTGGCCAATCTCCATTTGTTAGGTAATTCTCACTTTCTCCATATTTAAAAATAACTCTGCAGTGAACATTTTGTTATATCAGTGTTTGCTGATATTTATAATTTTAAAAAGATGATTACTAACAGTAGAATTCCTGAGAAAAAGAGTATGAATATTTTGAAGAATCTTAATGCATACTGTCAAATTGGCCTTTTGAATAGCTGTGCCTAGTTCTATAGCTAATAAGTTAGGAACTATATTTCCTTGAACCTTTATCATCAGTATATATTATGAAAAAAGTTGAATGTAGTATATAACCTCATTTGTGTTCAGGTCTTTTTTTTTTTTTTTTTTTTTTTAGTGGTGTTGGGAATTGAACTCAGGGCCTTGTGTGTGCTAAGTAAGAACTCTCACTGAGCTACATTCCCAGCACCCCTTTTAAGTTTATAACCTATATCTTAATATAGCTTTTATTAATTTGCCATTCCAATTATAAGTTTATTATGTTAATCTGCCTTTTTTATGAGATGCCTGATTCTTGCAGGCATGGACATGAGTAGGTGTCTATCTAACAAGAATGATATATTATTGATACTTGTTTTCGTTGAGTAATAATATTATTTATATTATGTACATTTGCAAACTTATTAAAGATTGAAAGCCTTTTAGATTTCTCTGTAACCATTCCTTTTACTCATAGCTACTTGGGATAAGAATGCTATCTTACTGCTTTTGCATGTTTTGTTTGCTTTTTTCTCTAGAACAAAGCTAAATATACAATAGATACTCAAGGTATTTGAGCTGAATACATTCATTTATTTGCATAAAATGTGATTTCAGTTTCTTTTTAAGATTGAATTTTGTTACAAGTTCTAGAAACTTGCACTTTGTGCACATATTTTATCACTACATGGAGACCAGTTTATTATGATACTTACTCATTTCCATGGCAAGGACAGTAATATTATGCCAAGAAAATTCTTCCCGATCTAGCGGTCTTGCAGTCATTAGGGCACCTGTTGTAATGTCAACATAGAAAAATCTTCCAGGATCACTGCTTCTGTCAATGGAGTATCTGCAAAAACATGGATCATGCAGATTATTTGCATTTTGACAAAAATACAATAGCATGATAGAACTGAGTATATAACTATGTGAAACATGGCTCAGTCAGATCTGAGTTATGAATACTTGAAAGACATCATTTTATTATATTCAAAAATCAACAAATACCAAAACCCAAAACAAAACAAACAAAAAAATAAAGAACTGCTTTAGTTTTCTGATTAAAAAATGAAATTGCCGGAGGAGGTGAGGCACGCCTGTAATCCTAGCAGCTTGGGAAGCTGAGACAGGAGAATTAGGAGTTCAAAGCCAGCCTTAGCAATGGCAAGGTTCTAAGCAACTCAGTGAGACCCTGTCTCTAATAAAATTTAAAATAGGGCTGGGGATGTGGCTCTGTGGTTGAGTACCCCTGAGTTCAATCCCTGGTACCCCCCCCCAAAATAAATAAATAAATAAATAAACACAGTGCCAAGAATTTAGGGCAGTTTTAAACTACTTAAAGATCAATTTATTCTACTTAAAACCTGATACTTCTCCAAGAATTATAATAAAAACCCCTACATATATTTGTTCAAAATCCAAGTGAATTCTCAAATGCTAATCTGAAACTGGAAAAAAGGAAAAGGTATAGATTAGTGGTTCTAGTTCTTGTAATTAGTATCACTTGTTGGGGAGGAAAGCTTTGTACCAGGTTCTTTGTAAACATGCCAAGACTCACCTTCTGATAGATACAGTAATGGTATTTACCAGCTGAAGATTCTTTCTTTTTTTTTTTTAAAGAGAGAGTGAGAGAGAGGTAGAGAGAGAGAGAGAATTTTAATATTTATTTTTTAGTATTTGGCGGACACAACATCTTTGTATGTGGTGCTGAGGATCGAACCCGGGCCGCACGCATGCCAGGCGAGCGCGCTACCGCTTGAGCCACATCCCCAGCCCCCTGAAGATTCTTATAGAACACTTTTAGCAGGATGCACCAGGTCTGTCTATGTTATTTATTATAAATAAACCTGAAGTTAACACATTTATAGGATATACCTTGCTGGAAGATGTCATGTAAGCTGTGTAGTTTAGTAGGGTATAATAACTGATGTTCTATAATAAAATTGACTTTTTCTGTTCAGAAAATTAATCTCATCCATTGTTTCAATCTCTCCTGTTCAATCTGGACCAATTTGCATCTTTATGTGGGAAAAAGCAGCTATATACAGGCAGTTGTGCCTGACATTTTCAGACCTTTCCAAGGGAAGTGCTATTGTCTGTATCCTTCAAGTCATTAGTAAACTTGGTACTGGGTAAGCTCTAAAATTCCTGTTGAATCTGATTTGGCAGTCTAATTCTTTTGTGTTGTCTCACCTGTATTAGCCCACTTGGTCCTCATGTTGGGAGATTTGTCAAGTATAGAGCAAGGCTCAGGCATCAGTATGTTTAAAATCCTCCATAGGGGATTTTGATGAACAATAATGATTGAGAACCATTATTGAGAACCTTATGTAGTCCTCAGTCTTTACCAAGGACTAGTAATTTTTATTTTATTTTAATGTACTTATCACCTCACATACTTATTATTTCTTTTTGGTAAGAACATTTATTCAACTCTTCCAGCAATTTTGAAATATATAACACCTTATTGTTAACCAGTCACTATGCTTATACAAATGATTACCAGAACTTTTTCCTCCTAACTGAAACTTTGGACCCTTTCACCAACATCTTTCTTTTCTCTCTCCTCCACCCCAAACCCCACCCCACCACTGCCCTCCAGGCACCACCATTTTATTCTGAATTTTAAAGATTCTTCATAAAAGTAAGATCATGTAATATTTGTCTTCCTGTTCCTGATTTATTTCACTTAGCATATGTCCTCAAGATTCATTTATGTTGTTTCAGTTGACAATTCCTTCTTTTTTAAGGCTGAATAATATTCCATTCTTTATATATTCCACATTTCAAAAGTTTTTCTGTTGATGGACACTTACATTGTTTTCCATATCTTGGCTATTGTGAATGATATTGCAGTGAATGGAAATGCAGACCTTTTAATATACTGATTTTGATTCCCTTGGTTTTATATTCAGAAGTGGAATTGCTAGATCTTATGGTAGTTCTATTTCTAGTATATCAAATAATTTTTATACTCTTTTCCAAAAATGGCATTCTAATTTACATTGAATTAACAGAGTAGGGCTCCCTTTTCTCTACATCTTTGCCAGCAATTATCTTTCATATTTTTGAAAATAACCATTCTAACAGGTGTGAGATGACAGCCCATTGTGGCTTTAAGTTGTATTTTCCTAATGATTAGTAATGTTGAGCATATTTTGTATATTTGTAGGATATCTATATGTCTTTTTTTGGTTATTTGTCCTGATATCAAAATATATTAAAAAGCTAATTAAAATAGCGTGATAGTGGTATAAAACCAGACACATTACAGTGGAATAGACTAGAGAATCCATAAATAAACCCGTATCTCTGTGGTCAATCAATTGATTTTTTGATAGAGATACCAAGAATACATATGTGGAAAGTATAGCCTCCTCAGTAAATGGTACTGAGAAAACTATCTTATCTGACTTCTTACACAAGGATCAACTCAAATGAATTATCGACTTAAATATATAATACCTGAAACTGTAAAACCACTAGAAGAAAACTGTATAGCATTGGTCTGGGTAATGTTTTTTTTTTTTTTTTCCCCCCCCTGGTACTGGAATTTAAAGCAGTGGGAGTCTACCCCAGCCCCTTTTATTTTATTTTGAAAAAGAGTCTTGCTAAATTGCCCAAGCTGGGATCTTCTTCCTCTCCTCCCTTAGCCTCCTGAGTTGCTGGGATTATAGGCATGTGCTACTGTGCCCTATTGGGCAATGGTTTTTTGAATATGACTCTAAAATCACAGAGGCAATAAGATCAAAAATAGACAAATGAGATTATATCAAACTAAAAAGTTTTTTTGTTTATACCTTTATTTTACTTATTTATTTTTATGTGGTGCTGAGGATTGAACATATGCTAGGCAAGTGCTCTACCATTGAGCTATAATCCCAGCCCCTAAAGAAATTCTGCACAGCAAAGGAAACAATCTACAGATATAAGATATAAGATATACAGATATAAGAGAGGGACTCTATATACTACAGATATAAGAGAGGGACTCTATTCTAAAAAGGTGAGTAATTATAATAACTGTAATTTATTGAATACCATGCACTTTACCATGTCCTTAATACATAGCTTCTTTTAAAAGTTTGGCAGTGTCTCTGGGACATTATTTTACCAATCATCAGATAAGGAAACTGAGGCTTAGAGAAATTAAGGCACTTTCATACATTACACAGGTAATTTGCAGAACTAAGATTTGAAACCATATATATAGAGTTATAACTATTGTGCTCTTATAACATGTTTAAATAGTGTCCAGGGGATACATTGTGTTCAAAATTCTCATCAGTGACATGGGAGGAATAGATGAATTCTAGATAGGAAAGAGGGATGGGAGGGGAAGGGAAGGGGCAGGGGATTAGCAAGGATGGTGGAATGTGATGGACATCATAATACAAAGTACATGTATGAAGACTTGAATTGGGTGTCAACATACTTTATATACAAACAGAGATACAAAAATTGTGGTATATATGTGTACTAAGAATTGTAATGCAAAAAAAAAAAAGCGTTACCTTAGATTAGGTAGAGGGAAGTGAAAGGAGGGGAAGGCAGGGGAAATGGGGATAAGAAAGGTAGTAGAATGAAACTTATTACTTTATGTATATATGTGACTGTATGACCAATATGATTCTACAATATGTATACTCAGAAAAATGAGAAATTATACTCCATCTATGTATGATATATCAAAGTATATAAGTGCATTCTACTGTCATGTATAACTAATTAAAACAAATAAAAAATTAAAAATAAAGTTGCTCAGTGACTGTAGTCTGTATCTTAAATTTGAGATAGAGCAAAATTATAGTTTTGTTGGGAATAAGTATCTTTAGTGCATTGTTTTTAAACTGCAAGTTAGTAGATTATAAAGTCAGTATTGTGGATTATGAGTTACATTGAAGCAAAATGAATTAGAATGTGTGTGTGTGTGTGTGTGTGTTGTGCGTGCGTGTGTGTGTATACATGTGCCAGTCTATCATATGCTGTAAATGTAATCTGATGTAAAACTTTTGTTTCATATATATATAGGTATACAGTCTGTGAATATATATGTATACTCACCCACACCCATATATATATATGGGTTGGTAAAATGGCAAAGTATTTTGTTTCAAACATGCACATATCTTTTGCAGAGATTCAGCAAGGCCATTCAGATAATTAGCAATTAAAGAGATAACCAATGAGAAAGGTCTGAAGAAGTTGGAATTGTTTCAGTTTTGATTCCATAAGAGTTAGGACATTTAATAATATAAATTAATGTCTCATTCTATCTGTGATCCTATTTAACGAACATTTACTGTACGCCATGCACTGCTCAGCACATACTACATATGTTATCTACATTTAACTTTAAAGGAACACTATGAGGTAGGTTACTATTATGTTGTTTTACAGGTGAAAAAAAAAAACCCTGAGGTTTGAAGAGGTTAAGTCATTTGTCCAAGGTCACATTGCTGGGAACTGAACCTAAGTGGTCTGGCTTCAGATTCCTTGAACTAACCAACAGACCATGCTGCACTACTGACACACACATTATATGAGCTTGTCTAAGGAAACAGAAATCGACCTCTCCCAGATAAGCCCTGAAGCTAATAGCCGACTTTTTAATAATTAAAAAAATGCCTATACAGTTCATTTAAATTAACTGGAACATTATTTTTTATAACTTATTTTATTTATTTATTCTTTTATGTGGTGCTGAGGATCAAACCCAGTGCCTCACACATGTAAGGCAAGTGCTCTACTGCTGAGCCACAATCCCAGCCCACATTATTTTTTTTCTAGGCATAATTTGTGATTTAGTTTTAAAGTTTACTAGCTATTTTAAAAACTGAATTTTCTTAGGGGAAAAGAAAACCACACTAGTCAGCTCCTCACACATGAGAAAAGCCCGCCCAGTATTTGGTTCATGGAACCATATGGCAGCTCGCCAAACTGTAGGCATAATGCCAAGGGGAGAGCAGCCTATGAGGAATCAACTTTCTATACTCAAAGCTACAACAGCATAGCAAATGTCACAGATAGTATGGGAGATGGAATTATGGAAATAACAAAGGGCCACGACCACTGACAGCATTGCCTGGTTGATATAGCAGGACACTGCCTCAAGAAGCCTCCCTCATCAAGTGGAATCCCTCTCCCATTTCTACTTTCCCAGATGAGGTTTGCATTGAGGGCATAATGGCCTCATTTCTCTGAATGGGGCACTGGGCCAATTTCCAGGAGGTAGGAGAACAAATTAAAGGTGTAAAATACAGATGGAAAATGAAGAAATTGGGACACACTTGTAGATTTTGTAGGTGGTTTTCTTTCTCTAATATTCCTGTGTACTATGAGCAGAATAGGTATAGCACACATACAAAACTGCCTTAAGCAAATAGTAATTGGTGTTTGTTTGACTCCCTATTTCTCTGAATTTGAGGTAATGATCATGCTTGGTAAATCCACACACTCCAGATAGCCAAGAGAATAGGCCATTTGTACATTAGCAGAAGCCTATTTCAGTTGCCAAATGGTCAGTAGCCTGATTTCCAGAAATTTCTTGAACATTTATTAAAAATTCAGGGAATCTAAGTGTTCTATTTTTAATATATATATGGCTACATCTGGAGATGCTATTCTGGGGATTATCAGTAATTGACAATCAGATTACATACTTGAACATACTATCAACTTTCTAGAATGAAGATGGTAAAAGTCCTAATAATCTTTTAAAAATGTTAAATGGCCTTTAATGTATTACATTTTAACTTCAGATAAAACATTTATTATTTTCATGATTTAATACGTATTTTATTTTTATGAATATGAATCTTATTTATTCTTCATAACCAAAATTCAGAAGATGAATTAACCATGCAGCATATTCTTTCATTTTGTCTACCTCATTTTGCTTCATGCTAGTAATGGATCTAGAACCTCTGATGTTTCTCTTTTATTCCTGGATATATCCTGAGCTAATGAGTTAGTCTTAAATACTGGATGTACACTCTAGGGTTGTATGTGTGCTGCCTGGCTGTTCAGTCTCTTTGCTTATTTGTTGTTCAGTAGATCCCTATAGGGATCCTATTAGAAGTCATAGTACTTTACCATATAGGGGTCAAGAGTCACAATCTGGGAAGACGTGGAAGTATCCACAGTATATTCTGACTATTTTAGAATAGGATCTGATATTTTTAAGCTTGTGCTTATAATATTTCAGTTTCCCCCAAAAAGTTTTATTCTGTAAAGTTCTCCCTACAGTATCTCCTTTGATATGAATAAATCAATATGTTGTAGATTAATAGATATACAGTTTATAAGTTATAATCATAAAGAATTTTCTTAACCCAATCAGTAAATGGGCCAAGGACCTGAACAGACACTTCTTAGAAGATGATATATAATCAATCAACAAATATATGAAAAAATGTTCATTATTGCTAGCAATCAGAGAAATGCAAATCAAAACTGCTCTAAGATTTTATTTCACTCCAGTCAGAATGGCAGCTGTTATGAATACAAACAATAATGAGTGTTGGCGAGGATGTGGGAAAAAAGGTACACTTACAACACTGTTGGTGGGACTGCAAATTGGTGCAGCCAATATGGAAAGCAGTATGGAGATTTCTTGGAAAACTGGGAATGGAACCACCATTTGACCCAGCTATCCCTTTCCTTGGTCTATACCCAAAGGACTTAAAAACAGCATACTACAGGGACACAGCCACATCAATGTTTATAGCAGCACAGTTCACAATAGCTAAACTGTGGAACCAACCTAGATGCCCTTAAATAGATGAATGGATAAAAAAAATGTGGCATATATACACAATGGAATATTACCTAGCAATAAAAAAGAATAAAATCATGGCATTTGCAGGTAAATGGATGGAGTTAGATAATGCTAAGTGAAGTTAGCCAATCCCCAAAAAACAAATGCTGAATGTTTTCTCTGATATAAGGAGGCTGATTCATAGTCCAGTAGGGAGGGGGAGCATGGGAGGAATAGACGAACTCTATATAGGGCAGAGGGGTGGGAAGGGAAGGGAGGGAACATGGGGTTAGAAATGATGATGGAATGTGATGGACATTATTATCCAAAGTACATGTATGAAGACATGAATTGGTGTAAGTATACTTTGTATACAACCAGAGATATGAATAATTGTGCTCTATATGTGTAATAAGAATTGTAGTGCATTCTGCTGTCATATATAAATAAAAAATTAATTAGATTGAAAAAAAATAATTGTATAATTATAAAAAAGAATTTTCTTGGCTTCTGAAAATATAAATTTACAAGATAATCTCTTTCATTTGTGTTGTGGTTGTTTTGAGGGCAATATAGGTTTACTTGTCTTTCTGTTTTACATTTACAAAGCTTAAATTTGGAATATTACTTTTTAAAGTTTTAACTCAGAAAGATGAGTTGTCCTCAAGAAAACAGAAAAATTCAAACAAAATCATTTTAGCCATTTTAAGGCCTGAACTTGTAAAATGTTTACTACTTGGTTCAGGGAAGCAGATTTCCTCCTAGTGTAGTTATTCTCTAGAGAAAATCATTCTTGTTAAATTGAAAAAGCACATTTTCATTAAATACACAACAGCACCAGGTAAAGGAAGTAGCCACTTGACAGAATAGGCATTTGATAAATTGGAGTGTGTTTAAAATGCGTTATTTGAACTGAGGCCTCAGATTCATTTTACTGTGTGGGTTTTTACAATTAATGTGACAGATGGCCTTAAATAGCCTTGGAATTCTAATCTTTTGTGTTGGGCTTCAGAAGCTTGGCAGTTGCTCTGGAAGGTTGAGTTGTCAACCTGTCCACCAGCTGTTTGCTCTTTGGTTCCAGAGTTGATGAAAAATGGCCATGGTTATAAGAGCAGTTCTCACCTCCTGAGGGGGAAGCATCTTTTAATTTCAGAACATACCTTAGACAGATATGTGAGATTGCCCTGTCTGGCAGTCTGCATTGCTTTAAAAGTATTGGCATCAGGAGTAGTTTCTATGTTGTTTCTACAGTATGTGGAAATACATATAGTTTACTTTTCCCATTTTTTAAAAGTGAAAAATCAAAGGTTTATTCAAATTGAAAGAATGTGCAATGATCACCTTTATATCACCACTAAGAGTCAAGGGTTTAATGTTTTAACATCTGTGTGTCTGTTTTATCTTAATTATAGTTCTCCACTGGGGTTGATTTTGCACCATTGTCCTGGATATTTGTTAGTATAGGGCGGACACTTTAGGTTGTTATGACTTGGTGGTGGTGGGGTGCTACTGGCATTTAATGGGTTAAGGCTGGAGATACTGCTATACATCATTCAGTGCACAGGACAACCTCCCATAGCAACACAGAATTATGTAACCTCAAATGTAAGTGGGACTATGATTGAGAACTAAGGTTGTATGCGTGTATATGTGTTTGTCTGAACCAAATGAAAGTGAGTTTCAGATATAATGATACTTCATTTCCAATTAACATGACAGGTCCATGTTATATAAATAGGAAAAAAACCTCAGAATTTCCAGAGATGGGATAGGAAAGGAAGAAGCAAGGGGAAAATGGGCTAGAAAATCACATTATGGAAAGGGAACATTAATGTTGCAGGATATAAGGAAAAGGTGGAATCTTTGGAAAAACCTGATTGAGTTGTTGGTCACATCTGGGTCCTTGGCAGAGATGATCTGTATGGTTGTTCCAATTGCTACATCTTCAGGCACCTCCACAAAATAAAAGCCAGGTTCAAACACAGGGGGCTCATCCACATCCTCTACACTGATGTGCACTGTTGTTGTGTCTTGAAAGGGGCCCAGGTTTAGAAAACGCATCTCCAGATGAGGATTGGCTCCCTCCACCTTCAAGGTATAGCTTTTCTTGCTTTCAAAACTCAGGGGCTAAAAAGTAATGACAGGAAAATTGGTTAGCCATTATCATATGTGTCCAAGGTCAAAAAGATGTTCAATATTGATGACTGTTACTGAGATCCCCAGATTCATTAAAGTGGTAGGAAAGAGGCAAAGGTAAAAACAAGGTAATTTTTCTTGTTCTGTAGTTTTTAGTTTTAACATCAGATTCAACCTTGGGTAAGAAAGGTAAATAAAATGCTGGAACTTCAGCGTCAGTTAAGGAAGTCAGTGGGATGATAAAGTTATTTACTCATCTATAACTTGTCTATTCTTCTATTGGCATGGTCTTTAGAGAGAGTCCTGGGAACCTCCTTAACCCTGGCCTTGTTAACCTAGGACTGTCCCAGTTTTAACATGGAAAATTTTGTTCCTGGGAACCCATTCTGTTCCAGACAAATCAGGAGAGTTGGTCACCTTATCTATAGATGTGCTTACTCATTTGAAAAGATGTGACAATTAAGAGCAATGGAGGCTTAGGCTTTTGCTTGCTTCCTTAAAAAAAATTCTTTTCGAGTTCAAAGGCAATAGTAATTCTTTCTAAGAAACTATCTCAAGTACCTCACAAGGGTTCTTAGGGCACTGTGTCAGATTTATCTTTGTGTACTTAGTTCTTCATAGATGATCCCTTCTAAAAATTCATTTTGAAAGTCCTGCAACATCTCATTTTACAGACCAGAAGGTGCAGAACCTTATACTAAGCTGACATGGTTATATAGTATCAGACCTGAAATGTTGGCCCAGGTGTATGGATTCATCATCCAGAGTTCATCCAAAAGACTTTAATTTTGTCTAGTAAAATTCCATCGCATAAAATATAATTATTTGGTTGTTTTTTTGATTTATTGATAACGTCAGAATGTTTTATTTCAAAATAAATTCAGTACTTCAGGGCAGAAAGTAAACTTAAATGCTATTTCTGAAGAATAATCCATTTTTTAAAGCTGACAAAAATGTTTAAATGTTTAAAGCAACAGTATTATAAAACATCAATAATAAAAACATCATTGAAAATAAGTCATAAAATAATCACAGTGGATAGCAAAGCAGTTACTAAAGCTTAAAAGTCACATGACAGTATGCAAATGTTTTATTTTAGATATTCACTTATGCTCTTTTCATAAAATATGCTGAATGTCACCATACTTCTTGTTAGAAAGAGGCACATACCCATTTGAAGCAATTGCTTTGCTTTTGAAAAATAAATATCTGTAGGAGTTGCTTTAACTAAATATGTTATTTTCAAGTTCTAGCAAAAAGTTTTTCTGTTCTGTTGCTCTTTTAAAAAAAAAATCATTTTTTAGTTGTAGTTGGACACAATACCTTTATTTTATTTAATTTTACATGGTGCTGAGTATCGAATCCAGGGCCTCACATGCTAGGTGATTGCTCTACCACTGAGCCACAACCCTAACCCTATTCTGTTGCTCTTGCAACCACTTGTTCAGCATTTACTTAGGGCCAGACATTGTGTTCTGTATCTCATGGATATTCAACCATTTCCATTTAAACCAAGCATCTCATTTGTGCCAGCCCGCCTTCTTAGTTGTTAGACAAAAGGCAAAATTTTGTAAATAAAAATATGCCACTCATATTGTGATCTATTCAAAGGACTAGCTTTACCTATGTATTTATACTTACTCCCTAATTGTACACATTTTTCTTTCCTGGTCAGTTATTTTCTCTTAAAACTTGCCTTATGTATAGATAGCCCAAAGTGGGCGTTTATTTATGTTAGGTTTCAACTAGGCAAATTTGTTTTCTCCTTAATTGTAAGTCATTTTTCTAATTTGGTGTGAATTTTGTATCTTTAAGTTAAGGTGTAATTTACATACATTAAAATTCATCTTTTTTTTTTAGTGGAAAGTTTTGCAGGTTTTGACAAACTCAGTATTATGTCCACCACAATAATGAAGATACAGAACTTCATTTCCGTGGCTCCCAGAATTCCCACTTTATGCTCTTGTATGGTCAGCCTCTTCCTGGATGTCTAGTCCCTGCCAGTCACTGATCCATGTCCTGTCCCTATTGTAAGAATGTTAGACTACTTTTTCAAGATGGCAGAATAGAGAAGGTTGCTTTCCTGGTTGTGCTGTGGCATGAAACCAAGAAAGCACATAGGCAGCTTCTCAGCAAGGTGGGTGAAAAAAAAAAAGGGTGGGGGGCGAGACTTCACTGAAATCTAATACTGGAAATTCAAAGCAGATCGGGGACTCAGGAGGTTGTACATAATAAGGAAGACATTTCCAGCACTACCTCCATTGCTGCCACTGGAGGCACCAGCCATAGCAGTGTCTCTTTGAGCAAAGTGGAGGGATAAGGGAATTAAAGGAACCTGTAGTTTTAGGAGGCCTGAGGTGTGTCTTGGGTATGGAGAGTTCAGAGATCAAAGACACTGCCCGACTGAACTGAAAGGCATGCTGCACGATATCCTAGTGCAGGAAAGAAGCCACATCATTCTTGGCTGCCTGTGGAGGAAAGAGGAAGGAATCATTTTGCAGCTGTGGTGAAGTGGCTGGTGGCTAGCGGGGAACTGATTCCTGGTAAACCTGAGTTTTGCCCAAAATACAGGCCTGGCAAACCCACACTGCATAATGTAGAGTGTGCTTAACTGACCAGGAGAAAATCAAATGTGGAGAGGGGTTTACACAGGGGAATACTGGTCATGGTAACCCACCCACCTTTCCCCCCTTCCCCTCCAATCTAGCTGCTTGCAGGACTGACTGGGAGAGATGCACCTGACTGGTAATTGGAAAGATGCAGGGGTGGGAAAGATTGAGTTTGGAGACTGAATCTAAGAGACAATGAAATGAAGGGACTAAGAATTGGCTCCTCCACTGCATGAGTGGAACCCAGGGGAGATCCCAGGGGTCTCATCTTCCAGTGTGGACCAGCAGTTGCTGGGTCCTGGAGGTGTGCTGATTTAAAATCTCCAGACCAATTGCCATTCAGTGAAAACCTGGAGACCACCTGTGTCTACACCCCACTTCCATGAGGTCTGCCTACAGGATTTCCTCTCATTTCAGCAACCCCACCCTAAGGGTGGAGCAGGCATCACATTCCAGGCCACCCCATCTAGCTCTGTTGAGAAGGGAAGCTGAAAATCTTTTTGAACTCCAACAGAAAAATTCTTTAACTTTTCATCAAGTTTTAATTTTTTTTTTCTCTTTTTTCTTTGTGACCTGGATGGTTCAAAAACACTTATACATATTCATATTTATTTTTTCCTCATTTTTAGCATTTTTGAAGTCAGTTATTTTTTCATGGATTAGTATTTTGAGGACTGGGATGTTTGATTTGTATATTTCAGATTTGTTTTGTATTCTTTTATTTTTAATTTTTTAAAATTTTACTTTGTATATCTTTTTATCTCACTTGTTTCCTTTGATTCTCTTTCTCTCTTGTTTTCTGCTAATAGCCAATTTCTATTGTTCTCTTTCACTCTTCCTATATTTTTCTATTTCTGTTTTCTTTTCTCCCTCATAGTCATCACATCCCACATCACTTCTGTTCTCTCCCTGTCCACCATTCAAAATTTGTAAACCCTTTTGCAAACTCACTTTTTTTTTTTTTTACTGTGGGCAATAAATGATCATATCACTTTTGTTTATTGTGACAGTTAACATTGTAGATGCATAGAAGGAACTATTTGGACTAATTCTGTGTATGGTTTGCATTGGTTTGTATTATTTGTCTCCTGCCAAATGGTGAGGTACTGGACATCTTCAGGGATACTGCAAGTCCACAGGGTAGAAACTCTACTGCCTCAGATCCATACTGTTAGATGAGTAGACACACATATGAGTAGACAACATGAAAAAGCAAGGGAACAAATCACCCAAAACAAACTAAGATACTTCAATAACAGAATTCATTGACACCACAGTGGAAGAAATATCAGAAAAGGAGTTTAGAATATATGTACTTAAACTGATATGGGAAGTAAAGAATGATGTTAGGAGTGTAATTAGAGAGAATATACAGGTAGTGAAAGATCACTTCAATAAAGAGAGAGATTCTGAAAAAAAATCAGAAATCCTCAAAATGAATCAGTAAACCAAATTAAAAATTCAATGTAAGGCATCATGAACAGATTAGACCTCTTACAAAACAGAGTTTTAGGCAATGAAGACAAAAGGTATAATTTTTCTTTTTTTTTTTTTTTTTTTTTAGGTACCAGGGATTGAACTTGTATACTCAATTACTGAGCCACATCCCCAGTCCTATTCTGTATTTTACTTTGAGACAGGGTCTCACTGAGTTGCTTAGTATCTTGCTTTTGCTGAGGCTGGCTTTCAACTCTTTATCCTCCTGCCTCAGCTTTCCAAGTTGCTGGAATTACAAAATGTATAATCTTTAAAGTAGACTATGGATAAAAGATGTTAAGAGATCATGAACAAAACTTCCATGAAATATGGATAACCTGAGAAGATTAAAGGTAAGATTGATTGGGATAGATGAAGGCTCAGAGACATAAACCAAAGAAATGCATAGTCTTTTCAATGAAATAATATCAGAAAATTTCTCAAGCCTAAAGAATGAAATGGAAAATAAAATAAAGGAGGCTTATAGGACCTCAAATGTACAAAATTATAACAGACCCACACCAAGGCACATGATTATGAAAATGACTAACATACAGAATGAGGATAGAATTTTAAAGGCTGCCAGGGCAAAATGATGGGTCATATGTAGAGGGAAACCAATCTGGATCTCAGCTGATTTCACAACCAGGCTCTCAAAGCTAGGAGGTATTGGAATAATATATATCAAGCTTTGAAAAAAATGATGCCAGCCAAGAATAGTATCTCCAGCAAAATTAAGCTTCAGAGTTGATGATGAAATAGAAACCTTCCATGATAAACAAAAATTTATAAGAATTCATATCTAGAAAGCCTGAACTATAAAACATACTCAATAAGGTATTTCTTGAAGAAGAAATGAAAAATAAATGGAAAACCAGCAAAGGGAGGAACTATGCTAGAGTAATA